TCAAAGTTAGGATAAATAGTGATGGAAAAAAGAGGTCTAAAAATACCTTAAAACTTGGTAGATGATTTGAATCAGGTGCTGGCTACGCTTACAGTGATGTTGGTGAAGGTAATCCTTGCCAGTAAAAACAGCATGCAGCCAGAGCCAGGCACTGCTGGCTGTTTGCATACGCAACAAACACATTACAGATCCATCCTTGTGCTCGCACACTGTAACTCATGTTGTTTTTTGAGAGTGCTGGGGCTAACAGTTTTTTCGCATTGGTAGGAACAATTTTGGAAAATTTTGATAGAGAAGTGAGAAACAGTGTTTGAGTGAACTGTGAAAAACAGATTCCTCTTCTCGCAAAACTGATGAAGAAAATGTATACAATGTAGTGCTTTACGTTAGAAATGTGATACATACTCTTTCATTTTTTGTTCACATTTTCTCCAAAACCTTAAATACGAAAAAGAGCCGAAACTGAGCTTTTGATCTTGCACGCATGTAAGAAAACAAGGAACCTAAAAACTGGTATTACTCCTCCAAATTTTTAGCGGGAAAATCGCTAACTCGGGAACCAGAAAGGCTAGGAAATTGAAATTTTAACAGAATATCTCCTTTTCAAGTAAAAATGGTAGTCGTACGATTAACATCCTGAAGTTCTAAGGCCAGTATGTTATAAATTCAAGCTTTTGTGATTCCAAGCGATCTTACAAAAGCACGAAATGCTGCAAAAACATATGATCGCGCAGGCCTGCCCGATGCGCGTCACCAATGACTTATTTATGTAGAAATGCATAAAAGCAGAATTTCAGCATATTTCTCAAAAAGAAGTGTCTACTCTTACTCCTTTTTATTTTTTTTTTGTTTAGTACCGAGTCCAGTCTTTGAAAATTACACCCGTATGTATAATTGTTCTATAATGCACGTGCCCAAAAACAAACGTAGTCAGAATTGCGCATTTATGTCTCACAAGTCTGTCTGTAAAAAGAATGGAGGACTTAATCGTGCGGCGAACCCATCAAAACATACAAATGGGAAACAGAATTTCCGCAGCAACCACTTTTGTACACTGTATGACTTTCCAAGATAAATGCACGAGCATGAAATAGTGAAAGAACTTGATACATACAGACACGATGCTTGTAGGCGATGTCGGGCAGATCGTCGGGATGCACATAACTATACCATGATTTACCTTCAGTTTCTTCGTTGCTATATCCTAGATAATGTGAAGCCCTGCAAGCATCCCGATAGGCTGCAAACAAATTT